TACAGTTTGCTCCCCACCCCTAGGCCCTAGCCCGACCGGGAAGGTTGAGTTCCCTATCAGTGAGTCCACAGAGGACCCCAGAATGCCAGGAGCCCTTGCTGAGGGGCGTGCCCTATGCTCAGGGGGACAGGGATGGCAGATAACCAAAAAGGCTGAGCCCCAGGCGTTCCCCCGGAGCTGAGCCTGTTTTCTCCCTGCGCCCCCCATCTCCCCCCCCCCAAAAAAAAACAGAACCCGGAGTCCGCCTAGGACATCCTCTTCCAATCGTGGCGCTCGAAACTGCCTCCGCCCGGTGGATTCCTCATCCTTGAGCCCACAGCCAAGTAAAAGCAATTACAGTTTGGAATCCCAGGAGACAAGCAAATGATTTCGCTTATGGAAAGAACTGCCTAAAGAAGAGTTCCCTAAAGGTTAGAGAACAAGGGGGCCGCCTTGGAGGCTGAGAGACGGGCGAGCGGGGACGGAGGGCATGTGGCTAGAGAGTGGTCCACGGAAGCCGCCACGCATTGTCAGAGAAGAGGGGAGGAGCGACAGCGAAGACAAGCGCAGAGGACTAGCAGGCGATCGCGGAGGCTGCCAAGTGATGGGAGTCAGAGGAGGGGAGAAGCGCGCACCCCACGGGCAGCTGGCCGGGCGGCAGGCTCCTCCTTTTGCAGCCTTTCACCCCTGGCTTCCCCCGGCGCTTGCAGACTGCACCAAGACACACACTGCGCTGGGGGCGCTCGCGGGCATGGCATGGGCGGGGTGCGGCAGGAACCAAAGAGCCCTGTGCCCCACACCGCGCAGGGCGTGCTGCACACCTGGCACCCGGGACTCACCATCTGTTCAGAGCTGCCTCCTCGGCCCAGAGGTGTGGCCTGCGGACAGATAAGAGTACCTCATGGCAGCACGACTCCACATCAACTGCCACTTCAACTGCCAATCAGAGTTGTGAGTGCCCTACTGTATGTCTCTGCTCAGTTTTAGAGCTTCCAGTTGAAGGTCTCAGTAACTGCATCATCTGTTCTACTCTGCAAGCTGCAAACGAATACTGTGTATGCTGTAAGATAAAATCATACATAAGGCAGAGGCAAATTAGCCTTTGTAAAGAGGCAAATTTGGGGACCAAGAGGAGGGTGGTGTCTGTTCAAGTAACTAGAAGTTCATGATTTTTTTTTTTCTTACTAGTCCCCGAAGCATCAAACTCCTCAGGCTGTTTGTCCCATACTCACAGCATACAGATAAAACGAAAAATAATTTCAAGTCGGGCGCGGTGTATCACACCCCTAATCTCAGCACTTTGGTTGAGGCAAGAGGATTGCCACAAGTTGAAGGCCAGCCTGGGCTTACAGAGCCAGACTTCGTCAAATGAATTACATATGTAAGTTTATCTATCTCGTCAGGACAAATAACTGAAGGCTCATCCTTGCAACACTCAAGTTAACTAAATTTCATAAACATCATCTGAAATATCGCCTGGTTGTACAACTATTGAGTCACTAGTTTTTTGAGACAAATTCTAATGTAACCCAGGCTGGCCTTGAACTATGTGTAGTTAGAATGACTTGGCACTTCTAATTCTTTGGCCTCTAGCTCCTAAGTACTGAAATTACTGGCTTGCGCCACCATGCATAGTGTTATGTAACTTTAAATGAAAGAGAAATCGTGTGTAACATTACCTCCTATACACGTATTTTTAAAGATCTACATGATGCCCAATGTACCATATATTACAAACTATGTAGTATATCATAAAACCATACATTTCACACATGCATGGTGCTAGGCATGATGGCTCATGCTTGTAATTCTGTTGCTCAATAAATAAGAGATCCAGAGACTGATATGGGGATTCAGGCTTCAAGCTGAGTATCAGAAAAGCAAAGCAGCTGGGCACTAGCTCTCACTCTACCTCAGAGTGAAATGGCCCATCCAAGAGTTCTACCAAACCTCAGACTGAACCCTCTCCTCAGTGCGGCTGGAGAATCCTGGGACCTCAATGTCTTCCTATCTGCCATGTGGCTGGAGAATGAATGCCTCATACTGAATGTTGAAGACCCTGCTCCTATCTTATATACCTCCCTAATGCTGGGATTAAAGGTGTGTGATCCCAGGTGCTGAGCTCATCTTTGTGTGAGCTGTTTCTCTTTAGGACTGAATCAATATAGATCTGGGTGGCCTTGGATTCACAGAGATCCATCTACCTCTTAGCCCTGAGTCCTAGGATTAAAGGTGTGTACCACCACCTCCTAACTTCTGGCTGCTGGGCTTAAAGGTGTGTGTCACCACTGCCTGATCTCAATAGCTCGAGGCTGGCTTTGCTTTCTGAATCCTCAGGCAAGATTTAATAAATCATAAATAATATATCACCACAAAATTCCAGTACCTGAGAGCCTGAAGCAGGGTAATCACTTAGGTGGAGGACAGCCTGGGCTATAAAGTGAGCTCAAGGCCAGCCTAGGTTACCTAGCTAGATCCTATCTCAAAACAAAAAGCCCAACCAACAATCAAAAAAACAAAAACAGCGCTATCAAGATAGCTCAGTGGGTAAAATTACTCGCCACAACAAGGTTGATGACTTGAGTTTAATCCTCAAGACCTACCTAAGAGAGCTAGATACAGTAGCAGGCAGCTGTAATCTCCACACTCCTAGGTGGGACAGGAGGCAGAGAATGGAGACTCTCACACAGTTGTGAGCTGCCAGGCAGTCTACCCTGTAGTACTAAGCACAGCAAGAAAAATAACAGAGACCCTTCTTGAGAGCTCACTCCCTAATTCTGACCTCCATGCCCACACCTGTGGTATACATGCCAACACATGTGTGTGCATACACATACACACACACACACACACACACACAGAGAGAGAGAGAGAGAGAGAGAGAGAACAAATGTATTTTTAAAAGATTAAAAAATGTACATATATTTTACTAGAACACGCAAACTATTCACAAATTCCAGAATTGTCCTGGGGGAGTTTGATCATCCAGATTTGAAGTTTGTACTATAGGTGCCAGGCAAGTGCCAATTACTGAGAATTCTGCTGATACTTGGAGTTCCCACATTGGCAGTGGATATGCTGGAGTCTTGATAATCCAGGCTTCTGGCAATGGTACCTAAGTGCATTATGGACTTTTCCATCACTGACTCTGAATTGGTCACAGACTTCCTTTGGCCATTTGGACATGAGTTACTATAGGGAATTTGCTCATGATTATGGAGGCTGATAAGTCCTTAGACAAGCGCTTTGTAGACATTAGACCAATGGCATAGTTCTAAGCGAAAAGCAAGATAGAAACAGTGTCCAACCCAGAAGACAGTTGGACAAGGGAAGTTACCTCTTATAGATATGGGAGAACACCAATTATCTAATTCTATTAAACCTTTTTACCCACATTAGGGAGGGCATTCTGTCTTATTTAACTTATAGATTAAAATATTAAAGTCAGCCCCAAATATATTTATAGATACTTCCAGAATGTTCCAACAAATATTTGGGTACCTAATGGCCCAGTCAAACCAATGAACAAAAGTCCCATCTTAGAGACATAGTTGTACTCAAGGATGGCTCTTGTGCCCTAGCTGAATACGTAGCTAGGCAGAGAAGTTGGTGCAAAGATAGGGAAGATCTTCAGCCCTTCCTTCTTATGTTTGGCCCCTCAAACTCTTAAAACCCTCAAATAACAGCAAAACTCAAAGAATTAAATTTATCCCTTGGAGTAAAACATACAATGTGCAATTAAAATGGGCATTATCCATGACAGTATTCTGTTGAGCTATCAAGTATTATGGCTGCTGGTGTGTGTGTGTGTGTGTGTGTGTTTGTGTGTGTGTGTGTGTGTGTGTGTGTGAAGTTGAACTGGTGTCTAACTAGCTAGCTTGTCCAAAGGATCTCCAGGCTCTTCCTGCCAAGTGCTAGAATTATGAATTATAGGTGGCCATCATGTCTGTCTGGCTTTTACTTGAGTGCTGGGGATCCGATCTGGTCCTCATACCTCCACACACAGCAAGTGCTTTATCTACCTCGTCAAATTCTTAAGAGCTTTTCCTATATGTTCAAGTAGTTTTGAACACGAACACAAGGAATTGGGGGGAGGGGAGGAGAAGTTGCTCTGAGAAAGGATGGTTTGAGCACATTGCTCAGTTAAGCAGTGTGATGTGCTACATGAGAAGGTTAATATTTGCTGCCCTCTTTAAGCATATTGCTTTAATTTCTTAAGACTGGAAAGTCCCTGATGTTAATACACAAGATAGTATCACTAAGATTACTTAGAGCTTAAGATATGTTATAGCTTAACTCACAGTGGATACAGTGTTCTTTTTCATGTATGCGCCTCAGGGGGGAATAAGGTGGGGAAGAAAACTTCCTCAGGAAACTCCATACCATGTAATTGAAGGATATTCCTCACTGGCCCTCCTCTAGACATAAATTTATTGCAGTCCCAAGTCAGAAGTTTCTAGGTTCTAGAATTTGGAGCTTTAAAAATAAAACTGTGGTTGGGGATGGTGGCACAGGCCTTTAATCCTAGCACTCATGAAGCAGATGCAGGTAGATCTCTTGTGAGTTCGAGGCTAGCCTGGATTACATAGTGAGTTCCACGACGGCCAGGAAGACATGAAGATACTCTGTCTAAAAATACCCAATAAATAAAACAATAATCAGAGCCAATGTCATGTCTGTGTTCATTAGGTGCTCCTTCCTGAATCGGCCTGGACAGTATGGACAATGCTGAGCTACAGGCTTGTCCTGAGAGAGCAGGGACTCAACATGTTAAAGTTTGTTCTTTTTCCTAACAGTTCTGTGTGTGTGTGTGTGTGTGTGTGTGTGTGTGTGTGTGTGTATACATTTAAATGTTGGTGGGTCTATGTGCATATGTGTGTATTTTAAATGTTGGTGGGTCTATGTGCATATGTGTGTATAGGTCAGAAGACAACTTCCATCTTGTTCTTGAGTACCTTGTTTGTTTGTTTTTGAGGCAGGGTTTCTCTGTAGCTTTGGAGCCTATCTTGGAACTCATACTGTAGACCAGGCTGGCTTGAACAAGCGTTTCTCACTGCCGTGGAGTTTGCCAAGTAGGCTGGAGTGGCTGGCCACCGGGGCCCAGGGATTGGCTCCACTCGTACTGGGATTCCAAGCTTGTACCATCACAAATGGCTTTTTAATGTGGGATCCAAGGATCAGCTAAGGTCCGTATGCTTGTGTGGCAAGTGTTTTACCCACTCAGCTATTTTCCCATTAAAGTCCCTTCTTACTGACTCAAAGTCTACAGCAGTCCCTCTGGATGACTCCTCCCATTGTAGTATCTCAGGCTGAATGGCTCTGTAGCTAAGTATATGGCAGGCTTTACTGCCATGTGAGACGAGACTGGGGATAAGCCTAGGGCTACCTGCATGTTGATAAGTACTGGCTGTACCACTGAACTCCAGCCCTTCCTTCCCACCCCCTACCCCATTTCCTCTTCCTCTTTTTCCTCCTCCCCCTTCTTTTCCTTCTCCTCCTCCTCCTGCTGTCTCAGTACCAGGGATTGGACCTAAGTCCACATACCTGTTAAGTATGCACTCTGTTATTGAGCTGAAGCACCAATTATTCTAATTATAATAATTCCCTTTATTCTAATGCTTCCCCCAGAATTGACATTTATCATTCGTCTTCATAGCCCACTGGACATAATTTGGTTCATGGTCTGGCCTAAAAGGCTTAGAGATATGGCTTGCCCTTCCATTTGGGGGTGGGGGGAAGGAAGAAAAGTGGGTATAAGTTAATACTAGACATTTGTTCCACATTACCTAAATAACCAACAAACTGCACCTCTAAATTTATTTTGAATAGAATATTATTATCCTTTTAGCTGCAATATTAAAATCAATTTTATATCCTGTCAGTATTTTTTTTTTAACTTGGGCTACCTTAGGCTATTTGTTGTTGGTAAAGCACTAGCAATGCAAACCCTTCTAGTTATGAGTATGACATTCTCATAGCAGAAATCTATCATAAGTAGACAGAAATGACATGACCAAAATCATTTTAAAAAGTTATTAGTGGCCAGGTGGTGGTGGCACACACCTTTAATCCCAGCACTCGGAAGGCAGAGGCAGTTAGATATTTGGGAGTGCAAGGCCAGCCTGATCCACAGAGTGTGTTCCAGGACAGCCAGGGCTAATAACACAGAGAAACCTTGTCTCGGGGGGGAAAAAATACAAAATAAAATAAAAAGTTATTAGCATTCTGCAAAAACAGGTCTTAACAGAAGGGCTTCTGCTAAAACCTACTGACTTCTCATTCAGGCCTGCAAGGGAATAAAAAAGATGAGCTCCTATACCCCACTTAACCCAGCACACCCCACTTCTAAGCTGGAGGCACAGAGATATGCATTGATCTTAC